TAAAATTCTGCTTAACTCACTTGTCCTGCTGTTGCTGCTTCAGTACGGCTTTGATTGCTTCTATTTCTTCAGGAGTTAACTGGCTGTTACTGAATTCACTAGGAGATTCACTCAGATGACTGAAAATGTTAAGATGATCATTTCAATAACTGCACTTTTAAAAGTTCAATAAAATTATGTAAGCATATTGTACTACAATAAAATTTTCTTGGGCGATAAGCCACGTCAAAATGGAATCATTGTCCAATGTTTCAGAGACAGTTTCTGGTGGTCCCCCATCTCGCTACAGAAGAAAACTCACGATACAGACAAGAGGCCCAAGAAAGTGACACGTGTTATTCTTTACCTGTCAAATGACTGTGCTCTACCACCATTAATGATATCTATTGCACAGTATGGTATGACCCGCCCTGCATAAAGACCAGAAATGCCGAAATGTGGTTTAATTTCCCTGCAGGATAATGCAGCACCTCACTGCCAGTGCTGAGCTAAATGCAAGTCTGGGTTGGGAGGTGCTTCCACAACCTTATTCTACAGAACAATTCCCATGTGATTACTACTGTGGGGAAGCTGGTTTAAATCTGCACATTTTTCCACCACCACCTGAACAAACAATTACTGCAATATGATTAATACTCTCATTGCCAACAGGTCAGGGCCACTGACTCAGTGGAGATTATGTTGGGAACAAATACATGTGCACTGTGACACAATTTAAATTGATTTGTTGTGTCTGTAGCATGAGTGATCACTTACAGGAAACTTCTGACAGTGCCCTCATATGTGATGTTTATAGAGAGTAAAGTCGTCCTATGCGACACCATGAAAGTGTCTAGCAGAATGGAAGCAATCTTATGTCAGCAACAGTTGAAAGCAAGTATCTGCTTCACACCCCAACCATGTTATGCCAGATAAAGAGTTTCTAAATGAAATTGTGATAGGAATCTGGGTGGGAGCCATAGCTGGTCTCAATATTATGGCAGAGATAATCTATTCTCTGCCTGCCATGAAAGAAACCACATCTGTCCAGCCCACAGCCTCTTCCAGACTGAGCAATTATGAATATGTGGAATTCAAACCAATCTGCACATACCTTTTTTGGCCTTGGCCGGAATTATGTAACTGCCCACGATGACGGTGTAACTGGCCATGTTGAGGCTGGAACTGGCCATGTTGAGGCTGGAACTGGCCATGTTGAGGCTGGAACTGGCCATGTTGAGGCTGGAACTGGCCATGTTGAGGCTGGAACTGGCCATGTTGAGGCTGGAACTGGCCATGTTGAGGCTGGAACTGGCCATGTTGAGGCTGGAACTGGCCATGTTGAGGCTGGAACTGGCCATGTTGAGGCTGGAACTGGCCATGTTGAGGCTGGAACTGGCCATGTTGAGGCGGGAACTGGCCATGTTGAGGATGGAACTGGCCATGTTGAGGATGGAACTGGCCATGTTGAGGCTGGAATTGACCACGAGGTTGCTGAAACTGGCCTCTTTTATGGAACTGACCCCCGCGCTGAAAGTAACCTCTATTGGGACCATGATATTGCTTATTCTGTGTTTCAGCTCTGTTGCTAAATTCAGAATTGGTATTGTGCTGCTTGGGCCTGTTATCAGAATGGGAACCATGATCATGACCAGAAACCGTATTACTGAAATGTGGGCTCGCATATCTGTCACCATATTGTGGAAATGTTTGAAGTTGTTCTGGATATTTCTGGTACTGCTTTCTCTGGAAGGGTTTATCTTGGAAGCCCCCTGGTTTACATTCTGCATGGTCAACCATCTCAAGGTTTTCTGTGGACTTCCCTTTGTTCTGATTGTAAGGATGCTTTCCTTGACCAAACAGAGCATCACCTTTGTCCTGTCTGCTAAATTTGCTAAAAGCACCTTGTGCATGACCTTGGTTCTGTGGCCTCCTATCAGAAAAATAAAAAATTAATATTACATCAAATGACATGCATGAATAACACTTCATTTATAAACGGTTCTGATTATGGTGTATTGCAGTCTGGATTACTTAGTTGCTGGATGATGGACAAAGTCCAAAAACTCAGTAAGCCAGCTGAATAACACCTCTTCCCAAAATGCTCTGTTGCTAATCACATATTTTACCATAATTCCAGACTACATACCTGGCACCATAACCACCACCACCCCCACCCCCTCCATTTCCACCCCTGGTAAATGGCTCTCCTGGGGTTCTCTGTTCATGCCTGCAATGATGAAATTAGTTCATTATATATCAAGAGATTTCTATGGAGGCACAAATGAACATAAGTAGCTTACAGTATATATCACTTGATGAAAAAATTGTACTTCTGGAGCGGAGCTGAATCTATCACTATATACTGTTAGCTTTTTGTCCCATACGAATGCAGTACAAGTAATGTTGACAACTGTAACAATGAGACTGTTTGATTAACAACAGAATTCATGAAAGTTCAAAGCCATTACTAGCTTATTTTAGGACAATGATTCAAAATAGGTATCATGTTTACTTGGAAAGAAATCTATTCAATGACAACATTTTCAAGGGTTGATAATGTAATGTACATTTTAAGAGAAGATAATGAATTATAAGTTTGTTCTGAATAAAATCTGAGAACTAATAATATTCTATTAGACTCACATAAATCTCGCGTTTAAATATCAAATTGTGGTAACAAATTTCAGAACCGAGTATTTTCTTTGTGGCCTGTTGTAATAAACGAGTCCAGTGATTCTGCGATTGCTGGAATCATGCATGAAAGTCTTCAATTCTGCAACTTTTCTTTGATAACATAACCAAATCACTTCTCTTTGAATATAACTTGAGTTCTAGAACATAAAAACCATCACCCAGGACTAGAGCTGAGGAATACAGAGAATGGGGGCAACTGTCATAAGGTTTTTGGCCTGATATTTCTGCAAGATCAAAGCAGAGCGAGTGGTAGTATCGACATTCTGCCATTCAGAATATTTGTGCAGGAAT